ACATCATTTGGCCGAATTAAACGAGCATAAAAAATATAAAATTTGGAAATTCGAATTTTTTTTATGTGAATTTGTGGTTTATAACTCCTAAACCTTTTTTTCCAACTGTGAAAAAAATTGGGTGAGGTGGACTTTAATTGCAGGATCAAACATATTTTATCTGTTAAAGTACATGCGCCATGGATCATTGTCAAAGGCTTCATAATGTCCTGTTTGTGGGTCTCTCATCATTGAGTTGAAAACAGAACCAAACACAAGCTCATGGAATCTCGCCATGTTGAAAGGATCCACCCTTCTTACAGATAAAYGTGGACCACTTGCTAAATGTTGTCTTGCTGGCCTTCGTCTATCATTGATGCATYCAAGATGATTATTATCATCATTGTCATCATCATCAACAGTGTTGTTATTACGTGTGCATTCAGACTGATGGGCATATAGTTTGTYKGATGGGCACAACTCATTRCAAAACTCACAGGGGAGGGCATAGATGGAATTGTCTTCATTAGTATGGACACCGTCTGATGTCTCTTCTTCCGTATTGTTGTATTCCTCCTTGGAAATGTCTCTGTTTTGTGGCGAGTTTGATAGYGTTCTGTCGTCAATGATTTGGACATCATCCWYCATCTCGCTGCAGYTTGACTGGTGYRTTTCTAACTCTACCGCATCAACTTGTTGTCCACAGAACTCGCATGGAATTGTCACTGTTTCTTGAACTTCTTCAGAGTGCWTACWKGTGYTMCWGTACTCTTTACAAACATGGCTTTCTARATCTTTAATCATTACATACTTCTGRCATTGGTCGCAGCGTTCAGTTCTTGATCGGCAATATAGTTCATGTTCGTTCAGCTTTGTRAATGGTACTTYRATGCCACAAGTCGTGCATTCAACRAGTTTCTCCAAACAAGAATTCTCGATGTGATCCTCTAGTTTTGATCTTATAACGTCTTTGCCACATAAACCACACTTAGCTGTTTCGTGRTGTTCTTTTCTGTGTTCCTTTTGTAGAGACGTATGGACAGGTTCACCACAGTCTTGACATATTTCTAAATTTCTGGAGCAGTGTGCTACGTGCATAACGWAGTTCACACTTGGGATTTCTCGATTACAGTTCTTACAAACTTCTGTCGAATCCATTGCAAATCTGAATGTCTTTACTCTATGGATTTTCTCTCTACTTATATAGCAYGCACACTGATGTAAACTTCTATTTATGGTACAAGGAAAAACAAGGAAGTTTCTATATTATATCGAGAAACTTCTCGAACCATCGAGATTTGTTTACTTCAATGCCACAGGGATCCCAATCCATAATTTCAAATCTCAAATTTTTCTTGTATATGATATCATATGTTTATAGGATTACTGAGTTTGTAACAGCAAGAATCACACTTGAAGTATGAAAGCGAATTATTCGAAATAGAAGTTCCATAGTCAAAATATCAATGTATCTGATCATTCTATTGCTGCTGGGCTTYCTGTGCCTCTGAAATTTCTAGAAATTATTAGGCTATATTAGGCAATGACTTCATGATATTTTCTTAATGATTGCAATTCATTCTGATATGTTGTAATAAGTGTTATATGTTGTCATACATGTAAAAAATAAGAATCACTATTACAACTTGACCTCTAAAAGTACTATTCAAGCAATAATTCTAGAGACATTGTAAAACACATTGAAAACACAACTGTCAACCCACTTTGACGTTTTGTTTTTTTAGCCTGTTTTTCACATCAGAATCTGACTCAAGTACACCCCCTGTCTGCAGAATAATATTATTTCCTATTCTCAATTCCAATTTTAGACTTTAATATGAACTTCAAGAATAATACATTAAACTACAAATTACATTAAATTCAGAAATTTCTGAATACAAATCTGTACAGTACAAATGTTTTCACCTTTGGCATAACTGGCCATGATCTTGTAAAAAAAGTCAATATTTTTCATTCTCATTGATGTTCTGTTTCTTGTACTTTTGTCAACTAGAAGTAATTGAGTTTGTCCTGTAGTTGAAATAACAGTAGTGTAGAAAGAACATGTATCAGGTTCTCTCTCCTCCATCCCTCAGCTTATCTCCTCTGCAGTTTCCAGTACCACTGGTAGTGTAGTGTGTAATTATGATGCTTAGAGTGATCGCACTTAAACTGTGCAACAGTACAAAATCTAACTTGTACTAATTTGTACTAAAAGTGGACCTAACGCAAGACAGTACTGATTGCTTCATTTGTATCAATTCAATTTAATTTGTGTACCGTATGCACGATTTACTAAATACAACTAAATAGCACTATTTAGTTTGTACAGTTGCATGTTGCGATCACTCTAACAACCAATCACACTTGAGACATTTATTTACAGGTATGCATCTAATATCATTGCAATATCACAATGAAGACACCTTTCATTGCAAAAATACACAGGGTGACCATTGAAGATGGTACAGGGAAATGCCAAGTAGGAACAAGTTCTGCCAGCAAATGATCCTCAGGTTCCAAAGGATAACATGGACTGACTGTGAATTTCTGTACATTTATGCTATTATACAACTTCATGGTGATTTTTAACATCCCAAACAGAATATTCTTTCATCTGGTTCATCATAGCTGTAATGAAATGAAATGATATTCCCAAATAAAGAACTTTTTCATTGTATAAAAACACATTCTACACTTCTATACTTACTTMACGACAGAACACATTCCACAAAAAWTTCCTCGGCAACTGTCACACGTTCTGGAGCAAACAGAACAGATTTTCTTGCCACAGAACACACATGAATCGTGRCAGTTCGAACGTCCACAGCTTTGGCATTTCGTGGCGCTTTCTTGAGCTTTTAAGCAATCTTGATCAAGCTGATTACCGTAGAATTTAGCAGAGCCTTTCATGAGAAGATCGGTAGTTTTTTCTATGGTAAAAAAGTGGTTTCGCTTTATAAACAAAGCCAAAAACGTATGTTGATTTCATCTTTTACTGCTAGAAAGGAAATCAAAGAGTCAAATTCTCACCGTAAACTTTTCGCAAATACGTCTCTTTGTCGACATGGAAGTTGTTCACATGCGTCTTCATCTGTAGAGGAGAACTGCTATGGAAAGGGAAAGCTCTTTTAGGCATGATTTCTTGATCAAAAAGGGCTTCAAAGTATAACTTTTCAAACAAGATGCTTCGATCAAGACAACGTTACATCTGATAATCTGATTGGTCAACTTTTCCCGCGAAATTTTATCAATATCATGCTGCACATGTGCGCGGCGAAAAGGCGCTGGATTCAAAATAACAGGCTCAAAATAATAATGGCCGATGTGTTGAACAAACTATTCGAGGGAGAAATACCATTAGAAAATTTTATTCAAAGGYTTATTGATAAGAATAATAACAAGGTAAGGAAAAGGGCCCATGGAATGTTCATCGTGGTTACTTTGAACATAAATAGGAGACTCGATCTAAACTAAAAATCTTTATAATTTATAGGACAAGAATTTGCAAGAGAAAGGAGTGACACTTGCTGAATTTGTTCCTTTCTTTATAAACTACCTGCGCGAGAAAACAAGCCATCTTGCACCAAGACATAACATAACAACTCCTAAAAAATCAAGACCTCAAAGACATGACGGTCAAAGTACACCTTTGTCAAATCAACGAGATCATCTTAAACACACTCCAAGAGGGATCAACTTTTATCCGCAAAGAACGCCTTCACCACATCGATGGCTACAGAATGGTGAAGGCCATATATCACCATCMATGAGAAGGAAGTCACCGAGAGTAACACCAAATAGCCACAGTACCACACAGACTCCTTCTCCTTTGATTTCTCAATCTAAACCCAACTTGAATAATATGGATGACTTTCCTTCAATTGGAGCAGCATCAACACCTAAAAGGTTGAGCATGATAATTAGTATTATTTCACAGATACAACCAGTTAGCATGCAATGCARGGTTTAAAAAGTAAAGTTATTCTGTATTTGATTGTAATTTYAGTTCTGGTAAAAGGACTCCATCTAGAAGAATAACCCCAACTCCAGTCAAAGGKGACAACAAGAAATCAAACTCWCCATTCACAACTTCTCCTTTCGCTTCAACTAGTCCACTTGGTGATTCAAGTCTTAGCCCTGCTTCCTTACAAGAAGAGAGGAATATGCTCAGAGCTATGAAATCTAAACGACGTAACCGYAGRGATGATAATTCATGGGGTACAAAGACAAGTTCTAGTCCTCATTCTGGTTCAAAGAATGTTGTTTTRGGAGACTTTTTTTCTCCACCAGCAATTGAACGAACTRTGGGCAAAGATTTAAATACATTTGAAGCAAATTCTCASCAYRYAAAGCAATTTAAACAAAAGTCTGAGAGCAAGACAAGAGCGCAATGTGAAAATGAAGTTCAAATAGCTTCAGGCATTGATGAMACACAYTGTGTGACTGACAAAAACACTGCTAAAGAAAGCGTTAAACTAAATAATGAAAAAAGTAATGTGGACACTACACCTACCCATGCTATAGAACCTGATAAAATAGASAATAAAGACAAAATAAATATTCTCAGTAGACTACATTCAACGTTGATTAAGGGTGAGTAACATATTTTTAAGAATTTTCAAGGSTGTGAYRCAAAARTGWAATAATTGTTACTAMTGTACAATCTCRWGCCCAGATCCTGCACTCTTGTTAAGTCAATTTTTCTAAAATTGATTTTTCGTTGTAGGATGCCTAGTTCCAAATGTGACTTCAGAGATGTACTTTGTTKCTCAACTACTAAATTCAAAACCTGCTGGTCCAGATAAAACAAATGTCCCTGGTAAGAATTCTTACTAAGCACTACAATTTGACACTCTAGTAATGTTCATGAAGATTACCAAAGCAATCAGTGTTTTTTCAATCTTTAGATTAATGTTCTGTTTATATGCTTTTCAGAAAGCCAAGAACAAGATCACAATGTTTTGCACTCAATTCACAACACTGTTTACTTTGCAGTCCTTGTATTAGAAAATACAAAAGAGTAAGCAAATTGATATATAGTTAAATACAGTATTAGATATTGACACGTGATGCAAAGGATAAGGAAACCATAGAAAAGCAACTCTTTCCATCTTTACCATTAGGAAGGAAAAAAATCTAGTATTTATTCTTTTTTGTAGAATAATCAGTTTGCTTGACAAGGGAACTCTAAGACTTCTTGCCCACAACCAGAGAGTAAGAGCACTTTTAAAATATTTGAATTAACAAAATGCATGATATTGTATGTTGATAACTATGGTTATGGTCCTATTTATGATAAGTGCATGTGAATGATTCCAAAAAAACAACTATGATTGTGTTTATAATGAAGATTACAAATGACAGAGGTATTGATTGAAAATGACTTTATCATTGTTGTCACATTGATGACTTATAATAATATAGTGTTAATATAACAGTGAACACTATAATTGATGGTAWTATTAATTCACAATCTTTTTTAGATTGCAGATTTGTCGCCAACTTTCAATCAGTGGCTTAATCAAACTTGTCAGGCTTATTCTGTTCCAAAGGTGCTCAGACTTCTCTCTTCCCCCTCCCCCAACTATTTTATACTCAAACTTTTTCTCATAATACAGGCTCTTGATACCTCCATCACATCTCCAATGGGTGGGGTACCATTTAGTGCCGACAGAGACAACAAAAATAACTTCCCGAGTGACAAAGCATTTCAGAACTTTAGGAAGCAGAGGTTTGTTCATTGTACTTTCTGTTTGCCAACAATTCTTGTTAGAATTAATGACCGAATAAGAGTGACCTAGTGAGATTGCATTRTAGGGATGTTTTCTATGAGCTTGTCAGAGAATGGGAGGATTGCCATAATAAACCTGGATGGACTATTGAAGAAAGCATGGGCAACAGAATAAGGTAATTTTAAGCAGTTCTTTTTTTAGTATTAAGTACTTACTCTAATCTCAAGTGATTCACATTGAAATGTGGTCATTGTAAAATACATGAAAGAGTCCTGGAAGAAAAGACTTKAGCATTGGTGAATATTTTGTTCAGGTCCCTTGTACATCAAAGACCAGAGTTAGCAAACCACTCATCCTTTGCAAGGCTGTTCCAATCACARTTACTTCAGGTATTCACTGATTTATACAACCATTTTTTTAAAATTTCCTTCTTTCACCCTGTTTGCATCCCATTCATTTGTTCATCTATTCATTTTTCATTCAATGCCTAGTTTTGTATATTCTATATTAGCTGATACAACTTCAAAGTAATTGTATGATATATCATTTCTTCTCTTCATTTCATTTATTTACTCCAGTCTGTTATTCATTGATAACAATATGAACTGAGTTACACAACATAATTCAAGTCTACTGTTTTGACATATTTTAATTTGCYCATTAGATGTGTAAGGGAGAAACTCCAAGCACAAGTGAAAATTCAGTGCTTGCTAATTTTTCCAAGTCAAATCCAGATAAATTCCAAAGGTATGTCTAGTGTAGTGAATTTGGTTTCTGTATTTCATCGTCTTTTGTCATCATTCTAACTTCTTATTTTAAATTATCATTTGCATGTGAATAGCAATATTTTTTTGGGTTTCTTTGCAGACTTTACAATCGTTTTTTAGCTCCAATGTCTCATGGTGGACCWTGCCCTCCACCATCTTTTACTGAAGTGCAAGAATTCTTCAAGGGRTTTATTTCTTGTGCTGAAAGGTAGTTGATTACTCATATTCATTTATTCATTTTTTCTTTGTTTTGCTGTGTCCTGGGCACATTCACTCATATTGCTTTACATTTTCAACCTTTTCAGTCATTCTTTCAACCGCCATCTTATGGACCACTTGGTCATAAAACTGACAGAGGTTTGTTGTACATGGAATTATTCCTTTTAATGCAATAATACCATGCACCATTTTGCAGCTACCAGCCAGGGTTTTCACTAGGAGCTGGCAACCTTCAAAATACAGAGTCTTATTTGACCTTTGGCTTGCTTACTTTTGCCGAATTAAGGTTGTAATGCTAGTTGCTCCTTATGATTCACATATGGCAGTTTTTCAGAACAAACACTTCCAAACTGAATGATACACTTGCCAGCACCATCTTGAAAAGCCAAGTCTTTGTATCAGTGCAAGTCATTTTTTGAGCCTGCAGTAGTAGATACTTCTTGATACAAAGGCTCGCTTCCCTTTCAAAATGGAAGTGGAAACTGTAACATGATATATTGTAACTTAATGTGTATGGGTTTTTTTTCAAAGCTTGATAGCACCAACTTTCATCTTGAAGAACAAAGACTTGACTCCACCAGTGAAAAATCAATACAATCAAAGGTACATACAGTATATACAATAAGGGTTTCAATGGAGTAATGGAAGTTTTAAAATGCTTTTTTTTCCTTTCAGGAAATACAGTTCAGTTTTTCTGTGTGTCTCACTAACCTGCGCATTTTAGCAAAGTTCCTTGGTTACCTGGTGTTTCAACCCTACTGTGGCATCTCTTACCAATCCAACCAATCACAAATGGAGAAAGTTATTTCAATGCGTGACAAGGTGATAATTAACACTTACCATATCCAAAGAATGGACATTAATGGAAAAATGAATGAATGAATGAAATATGGGATGGGATAGCAAGGAAGGGAAATCATGCTTTATAATGTAATATTAGTCATAATTATTCACATTCTAATTATAAAATTTATCATGTATTTATTGGCAGATACCCCAACCATTTGATGTTCTTGTGTATATAAATTCAGCACTCAAAAAAGGTCGTCTTGTCTTAACTGTGCCTTGGGTCATTGAGTACCTYAGTATGATGGACCCTGTGGCTTCATATCTAAACTATTATCATAGGGTCCTTATGTTGCTGGTACAAATATACAGGTACTTGATTTATGTATGATCCTGTGAAAATTGTTCCTTGTTGTCTTTTTGTCTGYTATCTCCATTATTTTGGACATTTAACTCAAAAGAACTTGAGGTTACTTAAGTGATGCTCAAAGTCAATATGAATAGATTTTGATGTGACTTTTCCTCAGGTCAGCTGATGTGTGGTGTGGAGGGCACACTTACCACAGGCTGCTTGTTGTTACATGTCTTGGATGGCTTTTTGAGGTATTAGTCTTTCTGCATCTATTGTTAAATTTATATATAAAAACTCTTATCCCATTAATTCTCTTCCCAGCTCATCTTCCTCACAAATTTCTGCCCCAGTTTTTGTTCACCTTTTCATGTTTATGTCCTTCCTTTTCCTTTCTTCAACAATTAGTTCTTCAAACTATCTTTCTCTCATGTTGCTTCTTTAGTTTATTGTTTTAAGTATCAGTTTTTTATCCTAGACTCCTGTTATTCCAGAGTCTTTGTTTTTCAAATCATTTGAAGATCCTACAAGTCTCCATGACAACATAGCAGCTCCTTTGTCAACGTCTTTGGTATGTTTTTTGATCGCTTTGTAAGTTGATTATACAAGAGTTATTACCATTATTAACAATGTTTTTTTGTAGGACTCCTGTGACATTGCAGATCAGAAAATGCTGTATTCCTGCTGTCCATATCTTGGTGAGTTGTACTGGATAACGACACAACCTTGAAAGAACGCATCTTTTGATTGGACAACAGACATCCTTCTTATTCTATACTGTCTTTTTGCCACTTGAGCTTTGAACATCATATGACATCAAGGGGACATGCGACTCAAAACMGTGCGCAGTTTGTTAATGTTATGTTCTATGTAGCACTATATTGTAAGTGTAGTGCTTTTGGAAAACATTCAATAGACATTACCTGCCTTCTGCCTTCTGACTGAAAGAAAAATAGAAGTTGATAATTTTCATCTGATGCATATTGTAGGCGAGATCAAAACAGTTTTATCAGAGGCATCTACTGGGATTTCAAGTCGTACAGGACAAGTTAAGAAAATAACGCCCGTTTGTACTGACAAGACTGAAAAAATGACGTCTAGTAACAAACGATTACTGGTAAGTTTCTAAAGATYGCACACWTCATGATTTCAGTATTATAAAATAGCATTTTATCATGTTTTAGGAGCAACTTGAAGAGAATTTTTATCGAAGTCAACCAGAGTTTTTCAAACGAACATCAGACTTTACAGTCGAAAGGTGAGTGATATCAAATCATGGTAATGATTTTTGTCGGGGTTGCATGCCCTCCTGAGAGCCCTCCATCCCTCCCTGAGGAAAATCCTGTATCCGCCCCTAATTTGTATTTACTAACTATCCCCAGGCTGTGTTCCAATATACTGCACCAAATAAAAACGTCGATAGTACCAACAGCTTGTAAGAAGGGCGCTCAAGAGATTGAAGCTTACTTGGATAGCATAGGCTTTCCTTCTGAAGGTGACAGCGCACAAGCGAAGGTATGTTTTTTTTTTCTTCTCATCTTTCAGATGCTTGCCTTTGCGATTTGAATAAAAACCTCATTCCTAGGGCTTCTCTGATCGCTTCAGAAAAAGGCCCTAGTAACGAGGTATTGGAATAACTGTATCTTAATGAATAAATATCGAACTAATGAATGGTTCAAGAAATGGAAATTCTGATATATCATATGATTGTTTTAGGAGAAAAGTCGACCTCGCGTACTTCAACTAATCCATTCCGTAACAAGTGATGCAGTAGCAAAGGCTTTGGATATCATTGAGTGAGTTATTCTAGACCTATGTAAGGCTTTTTGTGTGGGAAGTAATCGTTAAACTATTTATAATAATAGGAATAAYAGCGAACTCTCACTGAAGTCCTTCCAAGTCCTTTGTCCTGAAGATACAAACTCTAAGGTAAGATTCTGCGCCCTACCTGTTGATTTATTGATTGAGGATAATCATGATGATTATGATGTTAACAAGTTAGCAGTGATGGTTATAGTTTAAAAAATCTTGTGMTTTAGGTCATTAATACTGCAGCTAAACTGACTGCTCGCCATGTTAAGCAAAAATCCACGGAYTGGATTCATCTCTCACTTGCAAGTAAGTGTAGTGTAGCAAATCGACTTTGCTGTTGTTACCGTTGTTGATGATGATGTTAAGGATGATCATGATGTTTTTGTTATTGTTGATGATGTTGCTATTGTTGTTGTTGCTGTTGTTGATGGTGATGATGTTGTTGTTGCTGTTGTTGTTGTTGTTGTTGTTGTTGTTTTACATGTACCAAACATACGCTTAGTCACATGACCGTGTTTAATTAAGGATTTCCTCGTCATATTCAGGCATTGTCGAGAAAGATCTTTTTAACCATTTTGACAAGCACACCAATGCCTTACTACATGCCAAAGCTAAAGAAAGCAGACTTCAGGAGGCTATCAAACAATCAGATAAGAAGGATTCTCTTGTCGTAGAGGCTAGTGATAAGTCTCCGTCCCGATAGCTGAACTTTTTGTATCTCATGAACGCTGCAGTTAGAAATCTAACAATTTAGAAGGTACGTGCAAGTTCGAACCTCTAGAGCAGATTAATTTGTATAATAACCCTGAAAATACGTAGTACCAATGTATAGAAGTTACTAGAATGTGTTTAAATTACGGCGCCGATGAATTTCTGTGAATAGATACTATTTTCTAGCCTGGGAATTTTATTTGTATAAATAATGCACATAGCATGAATAATTATGATAAATCATGTAAATAAACCCTATTTTACTTCGATTGGTGATGATTTTGGATAGCTRAACGAACGGTTATATCTCATAGTGGGTTTAAACATACATAACAAAGAACTGTCAACCATTCTCGCTAAATATTCTATCGCTAATCACGTGACCCTTAATTGTTGATTGTGGGTCAAGCATGCGTTTGATTGGGGTTAACCGCTGTATATGTCATCGCARCGGYATAATAGACAGCGCTTTTTTKGTACATTTGCTTTTATTTTTTTACTCGTTATGGTTTTACTTATACTCTGTCGTATGACATTACGCACATCGAATGACCGTAGGTTCAATGTACTTTGTAAACCCTTAAGCTTTAGCTTATTTGTTGAATGAGTTTCGTAGCGTTCAGATATGCCACTCATGTATYTGGAGATGTTCAGTTGTGAATATATACGTATTTTAAAATGAAACCCTTGTAGCCTTGCTTGTCGAGACCGTAGCCCGTCTATATTTCCTACAGAGAACTTGGAAGCTTTTTCCCAATAGAACGTATGTGCCGAAGATGACTCGGTATTCTCAGCGCATTACAGTCGCAATGATCTTGGAGTAAGGTTGATGCCACGATGCGGAGAAAGAAGTTGGTTATTTGACTTCTCTTGCTCGACCTTCGCACAAAGTTCGTTAATGCTGTTCAAACTTGCATACATTCCCGACTTGGAATGGAAAGCGTTATAGAGATCTTTTTCTTCTGTTTCGTCTTGTTCATCACCGATCCCACCTTCTTCGTTGCTGTAGACGCTGTACAATGATATATCATCCTTTTCAACTTGTTCTACMACCTTTTCCGGCTCAGGCTCGACCACCGATAGATAGACAGAAAGTGTRCTTCCCAATTTGAAGCTCTCCTCACTTTTGTTATCCACAATCTCGGCATTAACTGCATCTGAGAGRTCYTCGTCGTTGGTTGCTGCCAAGAGATCGCGCTCTATATTCCGCAAATTCATTTTGATTTCTTCCAAGCAGGCAAGTTCTCCCAGAATGTCGTCCTCGTTATCGAAGGTTGCCAAAGGCACGAGGTACCGGATTATGTCGCTCTGCTCATTTTCTACCAATTCGAAAAGTGGGTCCGAYTCRAATACTTCTTCAGCACCAYAGCAGAGTTCCCCTGCATCAAAAGAAGCATCGTCGCTTGCCTCTAGCGGTTCYTTGCATGGGTCTATCAAGTTGTCTGTTTCTTCGAGTTTCATGTCCCCTTTTCTCTTCCAGCGCTTTTCAAAGTCGTGTAACTCTTTCATAAGCTCTCTGAAAAAGCTTTTCATGTAATCCTCGATATATCTTCGTAGAGCAATAGAGATAGTTCTTTTTCGTCTAGACTCTCGCACTTCCTTGTACGACGTGTTGAGTATACTGAGAAATACGTTAAGTAAAAGAAAGGCCACAGTGACGGAATATGCAAACGTGTATATAGACCCCAAGACTTTATTAACTCTCTGTACTTTCCTCAGCTGCATTGATGTTCCAAGTAGTTTCTGGAGAACGACGCTCAAAGACCCAATAAAAGAGGAATAGTTTTCAATGTTTTTCCCAAAAAGWAGCATTCCTACTTGGGTAAATGCAATAAGTACAATAAACAGAACCACGTAGAATGATTGTAAGTTTTTAGTGGAGTGTTTTAATGTCAACATTAAGTTTCCTATATGATTGTTGAACCGTAGAAGCCTTAAAAACTTAATGGTCATTATAAATATGACAAAGGACAACAARTAAACTTCGATGTTTGACCATAGAACTATGAAGTCAGTGCTTGTCGTTTGAAATGGATTGTCGTGAACGCCTTTWATAAAATCACTGACGAATTTCTCTTTAAAGAATARAGTTCCCATCGCAAGTAATGCAGATGTGATKAGGATCAAATCCAGCCAGCTCCAGAATCTCAAGAAGTAGGTGCAACCTTTTCTGTAAACCTTGAAGCATTCACAGGCAAACAATATAGTTACGATTACAACAAAGAGGAGTTGACACGTTTGAAAGACGTTTTTAAAGCCAGGATCAGTTGATCCATACACAGTGAGGGGTTCCACACGAATGGCTGGTTTTAGTGAACCCGTAGGAAGACGCTCAAACAGCACTTTGACTGCACTGTACAGTGAGGTTGCTGGCTCAAAGACTGT